CATTGTTCTGGACCTCCTTCACTTTGATAGAATGAAGCTAAACAGTTTTATTCAAATCTATTCAGTTTATTTCTATAGCTCCAATTCACAGCATGTCATCTCAGGTCACTTTCCAGTTCACCAGATCATCCAGTCAGATTGATTCAAAGTTTTCTATCTAAGGAAAACCAGCTGATTGCATCGACTCATTGACTCTTCAGCAATCCCTCACACTAAGCATGTTTGTAGCGACAGTGGAGAGGAAAAACTCCCTTTTAACAGGAAGAAACCTCCAGCAGAACCAGGCTCAGTGTGAGCGGCCATCTGCTGAGGCCCACTGGGGTTCAAGGAGACAGAAGCAGACATAGAAAAAGAAGCATAGATACAAAAGGCAACTGTCAACCAGCTCCACAGGCGGCCCCGTCCAGGAAACACACAGCCAGGCAGACGAGCTCCGAGCCAGCTCCCATGTCAGAGGATGAAGAGAGCACATCCAGTTAGTCACAGTCAGAGAAACAGAACTACACTGGAAAACAGGCCAAGCTCCAACATCTAGAAACAAAGGTGTTGATGGCAGCAGCACAGCTGATATTTCTCTCCAGGATGGAGTCACAGCCAAACAGGAACAGACCAGATGAAGCTACTATGAGAAAAAGCAGAGAGAGCAGAACGTTAGAGATTGAACTAACAGATTCTGCAGAGTGGGAGAATAGAGATAGGATGAAGCAGAATAATGAAAAAGGGCTCCCTATGTCCTCCAGCAGTCTAAGCCTATAGCAGCAGAACTATAGAGATAGATCAGGATAACCTGAGCCACTCTAACTAGAAGCTTTATCAAAAAGGAAAGTTTTAAGCCTAGCCTTAAAAGTAGACAGGGTGTCTGCCTCACGGACTAAAACTGGTAGTTGGTTCCACAGGAGAGGAGCCTGATAACTAAAAGATCTGCCTCCCATTCTACTTTTAGAAGTTCTAGGAACCACTAATAAACCTGCAGATTGAGAGCGAAGTGCTCTGTTAGGAACATAAGGAACAATCAGATCTCTGATATCAGATGGAGCTTGGCCATTTAAGGCTTTATATGTGAGAAGGAGGATTTTAAATTCTATTCTGGATTTAACAGGAAGCCAATGAAGAGAAGCCAGGATAGGAGAGATATGACCTCTCTTTTTAATTTTCATCAGAACTCTGGCTGCAGCATTTTGGATCAGCTGAAGGCTTTTAACTACAGTTTGTGGACTTCCTGATAGTAAAGAATTACAATAGTCCAGCCTTGAAGTAACAAATGCATGGACTAGTTTCTCAGCATCACCCCTGGACAGGAGATTGCTCATTTTAGCAATGTTCCTCAGATGAAAGAAGGAAATTCTAGAAACCTGTTTGATCTGGGATTTAAATGACAGGTCCTGATCAAAAACAACACCAAGATTTTTTACTTTATTATCTGAAATCAGTTTAATCCAAATGAAGTGACTGAATAATCAGCTTCTTTTTCAAAGAAGGTAAAGAGTCATCCAGGTTTTTATGTCTTCAGACATGCCTGTAATCTATGTAATGGGTTAGCTTTATCTGGAGTATAGACAGATATAGCTGGGTATCATCAGCATAACAGTGGAAATTAATCCCATGCTGTCTAATAATTCTACCAATTGGGAGCATGTATAAAGTAAAGAGAATTGGTCCTAGCACTGATCCCTGTGGTACTCCACAGGTAACCTTTGAGCATGAGGAAGATCTATCATTAACTTGAACAAACTGAATTCGATCAGATAGATCAGATTTAAACCAGTCTAGAGCTGTTCCTTTAATTCCAACAAAATATTCAAGTCTTTCTAAAAGAATATTATGGTCAACTGGATCAAATGCAGCACTGAGATCCAACAGGACGAGCACAGATACAAGTCCATTATCTGAGGCCATGAGAATATCATTAGTGACTTTCACCAGAGCTGTTTCAGTGCTATGATGAGCTCTAAAGCCAGACTGAAACTCTTAAAAAAGTTCATTATGGTGGAAGTGATCGCACACACCATCCATCACCATCCTGCCCTCCCTGCTCACAGACTAACTGAATAGCCTGGGAATGGCCTGGATCTCCAGCAGCCTCACAGACAGGCCACAGTATGTCCGGCTGAAAGAATCCATCTCTTCAAACTGTGGTCAGCAGCAGTGGAGCCCCCCAGGGACGAGTGCTGGCCCCTGTCCTCTTCACCTTATACACCTCAGACTTCTGGTACAATCCGGAGTTGTGTCACATCCAGAAGGACTCAGATGACACAGCCATGGTGGGCGGTATCAGGGACAACAGAGAGGAGTCTGCTGTTGCCGTGCCAACCACCTGGAGCTCAACATCTCCAAGATGAAAGAGCTGCTCATAGACTCTGGGAGGAAGGGACCAAAGACTGAGCTACTCCTGGAGGGGGCTCTGTGCTCTATAGAAGCTACTGGAACCAGAATCTCCCTGAAGGAGTAAACCCAAGGGATTAATAAAGCTGAGTCTAAGTCTAAGCTGTGAGCAGGTTGGCAGCCTTGCAGTCGGCCTCAGAAACACGTGAACCAAGTCAGACATGGACTCGGTGTTAATGGCCGCTAGATGGAGGTTATGATGAGAAAAGACCAGCTTCTCTTCATCTTCATCCATCAGGTGTTGATGGTCCTGGTCGACCTTCTCCATCATTAAACTTCCCAAATATTCGGTGAAAACTGAATAAGTCCAAATGTAGTAGTTTGCTGTTAGCCATGGCATCACTAGCAGTGATGTCATGAGTTTCAAAATGGAGGCTGACAGCGAGCTTCACAGTTTCACTTCCTTCAAATCATTGATGAAACATTTTGCTTTGATTCTGAATTACAGTAAATAAGATAATAACAAATTTAAATTTTTTCTCACACAGTAGAGATGATTAAGTCAACATTTCCTTAGAAAAACAGCCTGAGCTTCACAGCGACACTCTCTCTCTCTCTGTTGCTCTATGTGTCTCTATCAAAGTTCTCTCTCACACCTTATTGGACACAAACTAAGTTGAACTTCTTAAAGTTTTTAATTTTAGTGCAAACTGTGAATCTGGTTCAGACTGAGAAGCAGGACCATATGATCTTCTTCCCGTTGCACCTGAAGATCCTCTGAATGATGATCTGTCCAAATTTAATACAATTTAATTTTCTAATCAGATTTCTGAGCATGTGATGATGATGGTATTATTTTAACTGCTGGTATTGAATGAATAAACATTCTGCCTTTATTACATCTACAATAAACATTGCTTTGTTTTTAGAAGTATTTTTTGTGATGGGGGGGGGGGGGGGGGGGGTTGAAGCCCGGCTGGACCACAGAACGTTTGGGAGCTGCTGGATGAAAGGGTGTAATGATGTCACAAAGGGTGTAATGATGTCACAAAGATTATCTGATGTTTGTCTCAGGATCTGGCCCTGAAGGAGGAAAAACTTTCATTGAAGGCATGAAAAAGATGTCAGGCTTTACAGAGGGAAGATATAGAGCAGATAGAACCTGCTGTAGAGCAGATAGAACCTGATGTAGAGCAGATAGAACCTGATGTAGAGCAGATAGAACCTGATATAGTGCAGATAGAACCTGATGTAGAGCAGATAGAACCTGATGTAGAGCAGATAGAACCTGATCAGAATCAGAATCAAGTTTATTGCCAAGTAGGTTTGCACTTACAAGGAATTTGACTTGGTGTTGTTGGTGCAGACAAAAAAAAACAAACAAAAAAAAAACAAAATAACAAAATAAGATAGAATGATGTAGAGCAAATAGAACCTGATGTAGAGCAGATAGAACCTGCTATAGAGCAGATAGAACCTGATGTAGAGCACATAGAACCTGCTATAGAGCAGATAGAACCTGATATAGAGAAGATAGAACCTGATGTAGAGCAGATAGAACCTGATGTAGAGCAGATAGAACCTGATGTAGAGCTGTGAGTTCCTGTGGTTGTGCAGTTTGAACACGGAGAGTGAGACTGTGTATGTCTAAGGTAAGGAGGAGGGAGTGGGGGCCGGGTGCCCCCCCGGGCGTGGAGGCGCGTGGAGGTGGGCGGGGGGGGGGTGGGGGTGGGCGGAGGGCGGTGTGTGGTCGGGGTCGTGTGTCGTGCCACCGGCCCGGGAGGGCGGGGGGGAGCCCCCCACCGGGCCGCCCCTTCCCGGGGTGGGCGGGAGGGGTGGTGGGAGGTGTTGGTGCGTAGTGGGGCTGGGTGGTGGGAGAGTGTGTGGATCGTGAGAGTGGGGGGGGGGTTTAGGGGTGCGCGGGGGGGGCGGCTGGGAGGAGGGGAGGGAAGCCGCGCGGAGGGGCGCGGGGGGGGGGGGAATGCGAGCCGACGCGCCCCCCGGTGCCGTGGAGGGTACCCGCGGCCGGGGGGGGCCCCGGGAGGGGGGGGCACCCTGCTAGGTGGGGGCGGGTGCTGGGTATCCGGGGGCCCCTAGCAGGGGCGCCGGTGCCCCTAGCGTCAACGCGTGAGGTGGTGGGAGCCAAGGCCCCCTGAAGGTGGGGCCGGTCGAGGGGGCCGGGGGACGGGAGTGACGGAGGGGACCGTCCCCGCCGAAGGGTGATGTGGCCCGGGGGTGGAGGGGCGGGGGTCAGGGGGGGGGAGTGTACAAGGGTGGCAGCAGCAGCGGGCGGTGCCTGCCCCCGTGTGTCCCCCCCCGGGACGGGGGGGTGGCTCGCCGACGAGGTGGAGGGGAAGTGGGCGGGCGGGGCCAATAGGAGATGAGGGGGGAGAGCAGACCGGGGCGGCGTGACCAGGGGGGGGGGGGGGGGGCCCCCGGCGGGGGGGAGCCTCTGACCCGTAGGGGGGCGTTGGCCAGCGGGACGGGCGCTCTACTCAGAGGTGTGGCTTTATTAACTGCGGGGTCGCCGAGAATGGATACGGGAGTGTGGGGTGACCGGGGAGGGGGTGTGGGGTGCGGGGACCCCGGGGCGCCCCGCACCCGGTCCTTCCCGCTCTCCCGACTCCCACAGTTAGGATGATGAATGTCGCGACTACGGCTGCGTGATAACCTTTTTGTTAATGGGTGTCAGGGGAAGGGGCATGGGGGTGGGGGGAAAAACTAGGTGGGGTGTCTGACAGGCCGGTGGGCTGAGTAGATCGTACATGGCAGTTGAGGAAGTGCGGTCTCGGGGCGGAATAGGCTCGCCTGCCCCCCGAGTTCCGCCCCGCGAAAGTGTCGGGGGTGCTAAGATCGGGGTGATGTGGGTCGGAGCAGCGGCTACGCGGACCCCCGACAAAGGGGGGGGGTGAGCGGGGATTGACCAGTGTGGGCGGTGCCTGGCGCAAGGATCGTATGTGGGGGAGCGTAGTGGTAGAGTGAGGGGGGCTGTCGGTCCCGAGAGGCTGTCGCAGCCGGACCCGGCCCGGAAGGCTCCCGGATCTCAGACGGTGGTATGGGGATTCGGCTGGGAGGATCAAGAGTGGGGGGGAGGGGGGTGTGTGTGCCTGAAACGGTGGGGTGGGGATGGGTGTTGGGTGCGTAGGGTGGTGGGAGGGGAGGTGGGGGGGGGGCGGTTGCCCGCTCGAGGTAGGTGGGCCGGTGGCGGTCCCGCGTCCCCGGAGTACCGGCCCCGCCCGCCTGTCCCCCTGACGCCTTGCCCTCTGCTGCCCTCGGGGGGGAGTGGTCCCGCGAGGGGGCCGGACCCCCCCGACCGCCCATCCACCGTGGCGGGGCGGGGGCCGCCGGGTGGGGGCCGCCCGGCTTGAGCCGCACGGCGGTGGTGGTCCCGGGGTGGTGACACGGGGGTGTGGTGGGGCGTGCCCCGCCCGTCCGTCGGGCCGCCGCCCGGAAGCAGGCCAGGGCCGGGCGCCCCCGGTGTCAGCCCGGCGAGAGTTGGTGCCGTGGAGTCCAGGGAGGGAGCCATCCCCCGCCCGTACCCCGGTGGCGTTGTCCCGTGAGTACAGTGCGGTTGCGTGAGAGTCCCACGGGGGTGGAGTGGTGGTGTAGTCGGCCCCAGGGCCTTGGGGGCTCGATGCGCGGGAGGATGTGCGCCGGCCAGTCCGGGCGGGGCGGGCCGCCCGGGGGGGGCGCGCCGCCGGCCCGCCGGCCCGGTGCCCCCCCGCGTGGGGCCCCGTGTCGTCCGGTGTCTTGGAGACCGACGGAGGTGGGGGCCGCAGCGCCCGTCCCCCGGAGGCGTTGAGTGGCGAGGTGTGCAGGCGCCCCCCGAGGGGGGGACCACCCACCCCCCCCCGCCCCGGTGGATGGCGCAGTTGGGGGGGGTGTGCGGGCGGGGGAGGTGGGTTGGTCCCGGGCCCCCGGCCCCCAGGGGGGGAGCGTCGGCAGTCGGGCGGTCCCCCCTGCCGGGGCGAGTGTGGTGCCGGGGGGAGGACCCCCGGTCCCGCGGCGTGGTCGTGGGCCCCGTCGGGCGGTGGGCGAGGTGTGCCCACCGGTCCGGGGAGGGGGCCCGTTGAGTGCGGGTGTGGGCGGAGGTGGTGGTGTGGGGGTGTAGGGGAGGGTGGGTGTAGGAGTGTTGTAGGCGCGGAGCTGGTGGGCGGTGGGTAGTTAGTGGGTGTTGTTGTCGCGGGGGGGTGGGGGAGGAGGGGAGCGGGTGTGTAGTGGAGTGCGGTCGGAGCGGGTCGTGTTCGTGTCTTGCCCGTTGTACATCCCCCCCACCCCCCCCCCCCCCGGCCCAACGGTGGGCGCTCATCCGAGAGAACCCAGAGGGCGGAGGTTTGACCCCCCCGAAGTGCCTCCGGGCGTGGTGGCGCGTGTGCTGGGTTAGGCCCCCCCCGCCCCTGGCCCCACCCCCCCGGGGGGGTGTAGGGTCGGGTGTGGGGCGTCGGGTGTGCCCGGTGTGAGGGTTGGCGGGGGGTCCGTCCGTATTGGCGGTGGACTCCCCTCCCCGTGTGGGTGACTCTCGACAGGGGCGGGTTACTCCCGTGGTGTGGTGAGGGCGCGTCGTCCGGCCCGTGGGGCGGGTGGTGGGAGAAGGGGTGGTGGGGCTTGCCCGGTGGGTTGGCGGGCGTGTGTTGTGTGCCGGGGTGGTAGCGGTGGTGGCTGGGTGTTAGGTTGTTGGGGGGAGGGCGTGGTGGAGGGTGAAGGGGGGGGTGTTGTGAATGGGGAGTGTTGTGGAGGAGCAGGTGTCCCAGAGTGGGCGGTGCTGTGGTGGGGGGGATTTGGGGTGGAGGGGGGGTGTGGGTCCCCCCGCCGGGCGCCGAGCCTGGGGGGGGGGCGCGGTTGGCCGCGGGGGATGCCGTCCGCGGTGGGGGTAGTAGCGCGTGCGGGACCGCCCGGTAGACAGTGCTGCCGGGGGGTGGGGGGGTAGCGGCGCCACCCCAACCCAGGTGCCCAGGGGTTGGTGGGCCGTGCGGGGGGGGGTGAGGGGGTGGTGTCGGGGGGGGGGATTCGGGGTCGTGAGTAGTGTATGGATTTGGGTTTACACGTGAGGGGAGATGTGGTTTTTGGTTATTTTTTTTTTCTATTGCGTGTTAGGTAGTAGTGTTGTTTTTACGATCCGATATGCATGATAGAACCTGCTATAGAGCAGATAGAACCTGCTATAGAGCAGATAGAACCTGCTGTAGAGCAGATAGAACCTGATGTAGAGCAGATAGAACCTGCTGTAGAGCAGATAGAACCTGATGTAGAGCAGATAGAACCTGATGTAGAGCAGATAGAACCTGATGTAGAGCAGATAGAACCTGCTATAGAGCAGATAGAACCTGCTGTAGAGCAGATAGAACCTGCTGTAGAGCAGATAGAACCTGCTGTAGAGCAGATAGAACCTGCTATAGAGCAGATAGAACCTGATGTAGAGCAGATAGAACCTGCTATAGAGCAGATAGAACCTGCTGTAGAGCAGATAGAACCTGATGTAGAGCAGATAGAACCTGATGTAGAGCAGATAGAACCTGATATAGAGCAGATAGAACCTGATGTAGAGCAGATAGAACCTGATGTAGAGCAGATAGAACCTGATGTAGAGCAGATAGAACCTGATGTAGAGCAGATAGAACCTGCTATAGAGCAGATAGAACCTGATGTAGAGCAGATAGAACCTGCTGTAGAGCAGATAGAACCTGATGTAGAGCAGATAGAACCTGATGTAGAGCAGATAGAACCTGATGTAGAGCAGATAGAACCTGATGTAGAGCAGATAGAACCTGCTATAGAGCAGATAGAACCTGATGTAGAGCAGATAGAACCTGATGTAGAGCAGATAGAACCTGCTATAGAGCAGATAGAACCTGATGTAGAGCAGATAGAACCTGCTATAGAGCAGATAGAACCTGCTATAGAGCAGATAGAACCTGATGTAGAGCAGATAGAACCTGCTATAGAGCAGATAGAACCTGCTGTAGAGCAGATAGAACCTGATGTAGAGCAGATAGAACCTGATGTAGAGCAGATAGAACCTGATGTAGAGCAGATAGAACCTGCTGTAGAGCAGATAGAACCTGCTGTAGAGCAGATAGAACCTGATGTAGAGCAGATAGAACCTGATGTAGAGCAGATAGAACCTGCTATAGAGCAGATAGAACCTGCTGTAGAGCAGATAGAACCTGATGTAGAGCAGATAGAACCTGATGTAGAGCAGATAGAACCTGATGTAGAGCAGATAGAACCTGCTATAGAGCAGATAGAACCTGCTGTAGAGCAGATAGAACCTGATGTAGAGCAGATAGAACCTGATGTAGAGCAGATAGAACCTGCTATAGAGCAGATAGAACCTGCTGTAGAGCAGATAGAACCTGCTGTAGAGCAGATAGAACCTGCTATAGAGCAGATAGAACCTGCTGTAGAGCAGATAGAACCTGCTGTAGAGCAGATAGAACCTGCTGTAGAGCAGATAGAACCTGATGTAGAGCAGATAGAACCTGCTATAGAGCAGATAGAACCTGATGTAGAGCAGATAGAACCTGCTATAGAGCAGATAGAACCTGATATAGAGCAGATAGAACCTGATGTAGAGCAGATAGAACCTGATGTAGAGCAGATAGAACCTGCTATAGAGCAGATAGAACCTGATGTAGAGCAGATAGAACCTGATGTAGAGCAGATAGAACCTGCTATAGAGCAGATAGAACCTGCTGTAGAGCAGATAGAACCTGCTGTAGAGCAGATAGAACCTGCTGTAGAGCAGATAGAACCTGCTGTAGAGCAGATAGAACCTGATGTAGAGCAGATAGAACCTGCTGTAGAGCAGATAGAACCTGCTGTAGAGCAGATAGAACCTGATGTAGAGCAGATAGAACCTGATGTAGAGCAGATAGAACCTGATGTAGAGCAGATAGAACCTGCTATAGAGCAGATAGAACCTGATGTAGAGCAGATAGAACCTGCTGTAGAGCAGATAGAACCTGATGTAGAGCAGATAGAACCTGATGTAGAGCAGATAGAACCTGATGTAGAGCAGATAGAACCTGCTGTAGAGCAGATAGAACCTGATGTAGAGCAGATAGAACCTGCTGTAGAGCAGATAGAACCTGCTGTAGAGCAGATAGAACCTGATGTAGAGCAGATAGAACCTGCTATAGAGCAGATAGAACCTGATGTAGAGCAGATAGAACCTGATGTAGAGCAGATAGAACCTGCTGTAGAGCAGATAGAACCTGCTGTAGAGCAGATAGAACCTGCTGTAGAGCAGATAGAACCTGATGTAGAGCAGATAGAACCTGCTATAGAGCAGATAGAACCTGCTGTAGAGCAGATAGAACCTGCTGTAGAGCAGATAGAACCTGCTATAGAGCAGATAGAACCTGCTGTAGAGCAGATAGAACCTGATGTAGAGCAGATAGAACCTGCTGTAGAGCAGATAGAACCTGCTATAGAGCAGATAGAACCTGATGTAGAGCAGATAGAACCTGATGTAGAGCAGATAGAACCTGCTGTAGAGCAGATAGAACCTGCTGTAGAGCAGATAGAACCTGATGTAGAGCAGATAGAACCTGATGTAGAGCAGATAGAACCTGATGTAGAGCAGATAGAACCTGCTGTAGAGCAGATAGAACCTGATGTAGAGCAGATAGAACCTGATGTAGAGCAGATAGAACCTGATGTAGAGCAGATAGAACCTGATGTAGAGCAGATAGAACCTGCTATAGAGCAGATAGAACCTGCTGTAGAGCAGATAGAACCTGATGTAGAGCAGATAGAACCTGATGTAGAGCAGATAGAACCTGCTATAGAGCAGATAGAACCTGATGTAGAGCAGATAGAACCTGCTGTAGAGCAGATAGAACCTGATGTAGAGCAGATAGAACCTGCTGTAGAGCAGATAGAACCTGATGTAGAGCAGATAGAACCTGATGTAGAGCAGATAGAACCTGATGTAGAGCAGATAGAACCTGCTATAGAGCAGATAGAACCTGCTGTAGAGCAGATAGAACCTGATGTAGAGCAGATAGAACCTGCTGTAGAGCAGATAGAACCTGCTATAGAGCAGATAGAACCTGCTATAGAGCAGATAGAACCTGCTGTAGAGCAGATAGAACCTGATGTAGAGCAGATAGAACCTGCTATAGAGCAGATAGAACCTGATGTAGAGCAGATAGAACCTGATGTAGAGCAGATAGAACCTGCTATAGAGCAGATAGAACCTGCTGTAGAGCAGATAGAACCTGCTGTAGAGCAGATAGAACCTGCTATAGAGCAGATAGAACCTGCTGTAGAGCAGATAGAACCTGATGTAGAGCAGATAGAACCTGATGTAGAGCAGATAGAACCTGCTATAGAGCAGATAGAACCTGCTGTAGAGCAGATAGAACCTGATGTAGAGCAGATAGAACCTGATGTAGAGCAGATAGAACCTGCTATAGAGCAGATAGAACCTGCTGTAGAGCAGATAGAACCTGATGTAGAGCAGATAGAACCTGATGTAGAGCAGATAGAACCTGCTATAGAGCAGATAGAACCTGCTGTAGAGCAGATAGAACCTGCTATAGAGCAGATAGAACCTGCTATAGAGCAGATAGAACCTGCTGTAGAGCAGATAGAACCTGCTATAGAGCAGATAGAACCTGATGTAGAGCAGATAGAACCTGCTATAGAGCAGATAGAACCTGCTATAGAGCAGATAGAACCTGATGTAGAGCAGATAGAACCTGATGTAGAGCAGATAGAACCTGATATAGTGCAGATAGAACCTGATGTAGAGCAGATAGAACCTGATGTAGAGCAGATAGAACCTGATCAGAATCAGAATCAAGTTTATTGCCAAGTAGGTTTGCACTTACAAGGAATTTGACTTGGTGTTGTTGGTGCAGACAAAAAAAAACAAACAAAAAAAAAACAAAATAACAAAATAAGATAGAATGATGTAGAGCAAATAGAACCTGATGTAGAGCAGATAGAACCTGCTATAGAGCAGATAGAACCTGATGTAGAGCAGATAGAACCTGCTGTAGAGCAGATAGAACCTGATATAGAGCAGATAGAACCTGATGTAGAGCAGATAGAACCTGATGTAGAGCAGATAGAACCTGCTATAGAGCAGATAGAACCTGATGTAGAGCAGATAGAACCTGATGTAGAGCAGATAGAACCTGCTATAGAGCAGATAGAACCTGCTGTAGAGCAGATAGAACCTGATGTAGAGCAGATAGAACCTGATGTAGAGCAGATAGAACCTGCTATAGAGCAGATAGAACCTGATGTAGAGCAGATAGAACCTGCTATAGAGCAGATAGAACCTGATGTAGAGCAGATAGAACCTGATGTAGAGCAGATAGAACCTGATGTAGAGCAGATAGAACCTGATGTAGAGCAGATAGAACCTGCTATAGAGCAGATAGAACCTGATGTAGAGCAGATAGAACCTGATGTAGAGCAGATAGAACCTGCTATAGAGCAGATAGAACCTGATGTAGAGCAGATAGAACCTGCTATAGAGCAGATAGAACCTGCTGTAGAGCAGATAGAACCTGCTGTAGAGCAGATAGAACCTGATGTAGAGCAGATAGAACCTGATGTAGAGCAGATAGAACCTGATGTAGAGCAGATAGAACCTGCTGTAGAGCAGATAGAACCTGATGTAGAGCAGATAGAACCTGATGTAGAGCAGATAGAACCTGATGTAGAGCAGATAGAACCTGATGTAGAGCAGATAGAACCTGCTGTAGAGCAGATAGAACCTGATGTAGAGCAGATAGAACCTGCTATAGAGCAGATAGAACCTGATGTAGAGCAGATAGAACCTGATGTAGAGCAGATAGAACCTGCTGTAGAGCAGATAGAACCTGATGTAGAGCAGATAGAACCTGCTGTAGAGCAGATAGAACCTGATGTAGAGCAGATAGAACCTG